GAAAAGGGCATTGCAGTGAAACTGCTGACCAGTATTCTTCATAAGCATAAAAGCAAAAAAAACATTTACAAAATATTAACACATTGAATCCAGAAAAAAAATATACACATAAATGTATACATATATATGCACATGCATGTATGCATACAGATATGTATTTGTATATATGTATATGAACCAGGGAGGTTTTTTTCCAGGAATACAAAGTTGATTTCACATCTGAACATCATTATAGCATACTGTGTGAAGTAGTTTGAGTGCCCTCCCAAAACGTTCGTAGAGACTTGATACCCTGTTAGGCAGTGTTGGGAGGTAGGGCCTATTAGGAAGTGCTCTGGACATAGAGGTGGATTCCTTATGAATAATGAATGCTGTCTCCAGGGAGGGAGCAACTATTTACTAATTAATTCCCGCTATAGCACGTTACTACAAAAGCAAGTTGATTGCTCTCTGGAGAGGTCTTTCAGTGCACACACTCTCCTTCCCTTCCACTTGCCTAGGCTGTGTTGTGGCGTAGCATCAAAGCCTGGCCAAAGCAGGCTGTTGGACCTCAGGACCACCAGAACTGTGAGCCAAATATAACTCTTTTCTTTATAAATCACCAGTTGTAGGTGTTTCTGTTATAGTAAGACATGGTGTTAAGGCCTTAAGATCGTCTCAGTAAATGCAGAGAAAGTATTTGACAAGAATTTATCCCCCATTCATGATACTCACTACTAGAAATAGACGTGAACTTCCATAACTTGACGAAGCACATTTATGAGAAAGCAATCATTCTAATAGTAAGACCGTTTAGATGAAATGCTTTCTGCCTAAGAACAGAACAAGGCAAAAATCTCTGCACTCATCACTCATGTTCAGTATTGTCCTGGAGGTTAGTGAAATAAATGGCATATGTTCAGGAAAGAAAAAAAAAAAAAACTTTGTTCTCAGACAGAATCCTAAATTAATCTACTAAGTGAATTCTAATAAGTGAGTTTAGTGAGTTTCCAAGGTACAAAATCAATGCACAAAAGTCCACTGTATTTGTTATACACTATCAAGAGATAATCAAAATAAGAATTTTAAAACAGCTTCATTCACATGAGCATAAAAAGAAAGTAAAATATTTAGGAATGCATTCAACATAAGTTTTACAAGACCTGTTCACAGAGCATTGCTAAATAAATAAGAGATGTATAATTGGCTATTACGTACATGAAATGATAGTAAACATCTTTGTCATTAGGAAAATGCAAATTAACATCAAAATACTTTGGTTGCAAGAAAAAGAGAATGATAGAAAAAGAAATACATAGGACGAGCCAGTGGCATGGTGGTTATGTGACTAGATCTCACATGGGTGACTGTACTGTTCAAGTCTTGGACCCAAGATTCTAAAAAACATACCAGATGCATGTGTGTGTGCACCCAAAATCCTGAAAAGAGGAAGAAAATTGTGGCATGACCATCCCCCATGGGTGTGCTCTCACTTTTCCTTTTTTCTCCCTTTCTCTCTGTGAATTATGTATCTTCTTGCAAAAATTTCAAAAGAAAAAGGAATATATAAGGTCAAAAGAGGATATATTTGTATTTGTTTGAAGATGGGCTGGCTTATAACCTCAAATCTGCATCATCAATCCTAATCTCAGTGTTTTAGTTTCTTATTTCTAAATGTATACAATTTTTTTTCAGGTCCATCAGCACCTTTATGTCAGTGTGTTTTAATGTAGAACTATTTTCTTTCCTTCTTAAGTCGTGTTCTTTCCCACTTTATTGCTATTACATCACCACCATAACAGACCCAAAACTGTGATTTGTCATTTGTTCTTTTTTGTTGTTTTTGAGAGGCTTTTGCTATAGGGTGTGTGTGCTCGCCAGAAAGACAGAGACAGACAGAGAGACAGAAAGCAAGAAATTATCTCCTGGGGGAATGGCCTGGGGGGATGGCCATGCCACAATCCCTTCTCCTCCATTCTCCTCTCAGGATCTTGGGCACGCACACACACGTACCTGACGTGAGTTTAAGCCACCGGGACTTGAACTGTGGTTGACTACATGGGAGTCCAGCGACATAGCCATTGCGCCAACTGCTGGTCCCCATTTGTTCTTTCAGCAAACGTGTTAATTACCTGCCTGTAACTACGTGGAGATTATTAAGTACGTGGTTGGAAATCATGAGAGGGATTGTGGCTAGAGATATAACTTTAGCAATTACCAGTGGATAAATGGTATTTAAAGCCATGTGACAGGACGAGCTCACTTAGGGAGATGTGCATGAATAGAATAAAAGAGGTCAGATGACCCATCCCTGAGTTAGTTCAACCTTTTGAAGTTAGTTAACTGAGGGTGACTCAGCCAATGGGAAAACGTGGAATGGCCAGTGAGAATAGTGCTTCAGAGGACAGGTTAAGATATACTGAACCATTGCTGATAGGTTAAGTCAGAGGAGCACTGAGAAATGACTAATGACTTTGCCAGTGTGAAGGTCATCAGTGACCTTGATGAAATTATTTTCAGTGTAGTAATGGGAATGATAACCTGATGAAGTAGGTATAAGAGATAATGGAAAGAAAATTGAGGCAAAGTGTAGAGAGCCTTTTTTGAGAACTTCAGCCCTCTTAAGCACTAGGCATGTGAAGAGACTTGTTTTTTCTTGAGATGGGAGATTTTATAGCAAGTTGGTAAACTAATGAAGATTAGGCAAATGAGAACACAGACAGTGTAGAGGAGAGAAGGAGGAATAGGTTCCTTTATTGGTGAGTAGAAGTGGGTTTGGTACACCAATGGGGAGGAATGGTTTTTGGTAAAAGCATGGACAGCTCATCTGTGGTGGCTGAAAGGACAGAGTAGATTCAGGTCAGTCATCAAATAATTCTTGAGCTCTCACTATGTCCAAGGTACAGTTTTTAAGAAAATAAAACTTTTTAAAAGTCATCTAAGCAATTTAAATAGAGATATTTATGATTTAACCAGCTGTCCGTTTTTTGCATACTGCTGCGAGCATATTACTGTTTATTATACTATTAGGTAGTTGGCAAAGTATTTTTTCTGTTTTATTTAATGCAAAAAATATGTCATGACTTTTCTGACAAACCAGTATTTGTCATACTATTTAGTACTCAGGTTTGTTAGAATATGATACTGAGGGACCAGCAGGTGGCATAGTGATTGTGGTGCTAGACACCCACATGGCCAACTGTGGTTCAGATCCTTGGCCCTGTGGCTTGAAACTCATGCCAGGTGCGTGTGCGTGTGCACCCAAAAGTTTGAGAGGAGAAGGGATTGTGTCATGGCCATCCTTCCTGGGGGCGGGGCGGGGAGGGATTTTTTACTTTCTCTGCCTCTGTGTCTCTGGTGAGTGCACATTCCCTATAGCAAAAATCTCACTTAAAAAAACAAAAAAAAGAAGAGAGAATGTGATAGTGAAACAACTTAATATTTTTTAGTAATCAGTCTGTTTGCGTGTCTGTTATCTCCCACTTAAAACGTAAGCTTGTGGGTAGTTGCATTCATTTACAGCTGAAGTGCTTCTGAGCTGTACTGACCAACTTGTAAGATAACCCTTAGGAGTAATGTATGCCGAGGGTATAGTGTGCCATGTAATGAGTTCCTCACAGTGACGCATCTAAGGAGACCTTGCTGGAAGCATAGTGGGAATGGTGTTTCTTGAGTTGCACCTTCCTCACTGTTTCTTACCCATCAAATAATTCACGTTTAATTTACCATGCCTGGAATTAAACGTTTTTACATTATGGTATAGTGGAATATTAAAAATATGTTATTGGGTATTACATTTGAGTTAAAATGATAATGACTAAATCTTGGGAGGGTATGGTTTATTTTTAGAGTCTCCTGTGTGATCCTTTGAAAAGTCTTAGTTTTCACCCTGATTCCAGTTTTTCTCCTTACAGCATTTAGTTGCATCTCTTTTTTTCCACCCTAATAGAAGACAAAGTACCATTAGAACCCAATAAGTCGGGCCAGCAGGTGGTGTGGTGGCTAAGATGCTGGACTCCCACATGTGGTTCTAGTCCTGCACTTAGTGACTTGCTTTCTCAATTTCCCTCTCTTTTTCTCTCTGGTAAGCACACATGCCCTATAGTAAACTTAAAATAGAAATAATAATAATAATAATAAATAAAATAGTTAAAAAGGAAGAATCCCATAAGTTAAATTTCAGTTCTTAACTCTTTCCTCATGCCAATTTCTGTAATCTTTTGTGCAGTAGTGAGCTGCCTTGACTCTATCATTCACTGTGATATTGCTTCCACTACTAAATCTTGCTACTTTAGTTCCTTCTGAGAAGATGTGAAAGATTATAATGCTGCAATGTTGGCTTTGTCATAAATTATTTTATAGATTTTCATTGGTTATCTTTGTTTCAAAATTAGATTATCATCATTGCATGTACTTATTTACTACTAATAATGGTACAACACTGTTATCACAAACTTAGGGGTTTAAAACCACACACCTTTATTATTACACTACTTTTGTGTGTCAGGAATATATGTAAAGCTGAACTGGGTTCTCCTGAAGACTGGTCTGGGGATGGATCTGCTTCCAGACTCACCTGGTTGTTGACTGAATTCAGTTCCTTGCAGCCTGCTGCACCGAGGGCTTAGTTTCTCTTTGGCTGCCCACCTGAGGCTGCCCTCTGCTTCTTGGCCTGTGGCTTTCTCCATTTGACAGCTCACAATGTTCAAGCTTGCATCTTCAGAGCCACTAAGGAAGAGAGTCTTCTCCAAGACAGGCATCATAGTGTTATGTAATGTAACCAAGTGCATACAGTCATTCTGTCTCTTAGCTAGAAGCAAGCTGCAAATCTTACTCTTATTCAGTAGGAGAATATCACACAACAGCACGGACACCAGGAAATGGGGACCCTAGGGACTACCCTTAAAGTCTGTCTGCTACAACTTTGCTATATCTTTATATGGGATACATGTTTATCTCCTTCAGTAGTTTTTGCTACTTGTGTGTAGTAGTAATTTTGCATTTTGAATTTTTCTAACCAGATTCCATCAGCCGTGACATCCCCAAAATGCTTGAATTATTTAAAACTGGACATGAAATTAACGTTGATGAAGAAAGGGAGAACTTTCTCGAGACCAAAATAGCCACAGTAAGTTATAGTGACAATTGCCAAATAGCCCTATTTTCTTTTTCTTTTTTTGTTCAAGTAATTTCTTAATAAGAGTACAGTTTATCAGTCATTTGAAACTGTTCTTGGCACTAGCATTAGGGTGGCACTAAAATATGCACTTTTTTGATTCTTTATATTGAACTCATACATTTGAATGGTACTTGAGACTTCCTTCCTCCCAGTTACGTGCTCACTGGCATTTATTTGTACTTTGCCTTATTAATTCTATGTATCCATTTTTTGTTCTCTAATATCTTAAGCTTATTGAGAGTAAAGTCCCTATAGAACATTGTGTAAATTAAGTATGTAGTAGAAATTTAATACTACTTTGGTGGAATTGAGTAATTTGCTTTATTTTAATGAGTTGTGTCTGATTATCTCTGTTTTAAAAATTATTTGCTAGGCCAGTAGGTGGTGTAGTGATTAAAGCACTAGACTTCCATATGGCTGACTCCAATTAGAGTCCCAGACTGGGTGACTTAAAAATCACACCAGGAACATGTGCGTTCATGCCCAAAATCTCGAGAGGAGAATAGAAGAGAAGGGATTGTGGCTCGGCCATCCACCCTGGGGGGGTTAATTTCTCATTTTCCCTCTCTGTGTCTCTCTGGTGACATGCTCCCTGTGACACAAACCAAAGCAAAACAAAAACCTAAAAAAAAATAATGCTTACTGTTAGAAGATGCTGGAAGTAATTTTCTTCAATTTCCAAAGCTATTTTTGAGATACTAACATAGTTTTGTCAGATTTATAGGACTGTATTTTTAAATATATAGGAATTAGAAACATTAAAGTTATTTGCAGATATGTTCTTTATACTAAAGAATCTCAAAAGTGCCTGTTTAATATGTAGTTTTTTTCTTGGTACAGTAACTATAGGAATAATAGTAATATGGATAGCAAAATTTAAACAGTGCCTACCAAGTGTCAGGTGTTGTACTAAACACTTTTCATGAATTACATCTTTTTAATCCCCAACTCTGTGAGGTGAAATTATTATCCTTATTTTATAGATGAAGGCATGGAAACCTAGCAAAGCTCGTAACTTCCAAGGTTTTACAACTAGAATGAGGCTATTTCAATTTTAAGGTGAAAAATTTATATGATCTGAAGAGAAACCAGAGTATAGGCTATTTGAATTTTGACAGTATCCTCAAGGGTCTTACCTCTCTACCCCTATAATGTCTTGTTTCATGGCTGGAATTACTTGAGTAGCTGTTCTTCTTCTTCTTTTTCTTCTTTTTCTTTTTTTTTTTTTGCCAGAGGGCCCATGTGCAGAGAGAGGAAGCAGGCCCCAGTGGGGCCCAGTCACACTGGAATCCCTTCTCCTCCATTTTTCTATCCTGTGGGATTTGAGACATATTTGCACACACATGTGGCAATTTTCTCAGGCTGCCAGGACTAGGATTAGAACTGTGCAGTTGGCCATGTGGGATCTGGCTCTGTTAACTTTAAGGCCTTGAGGCTGGCCCCTCCCATCCTCCCTTTTTTTTTTTTTTTTTCTTTTTCCTAGTTTGCTTTAGGGTACATGTGCTCACCAGACAGTTAGAGACAGTCAGGGAGAGAGAGAGAGAGAGGGAGAGGAAGAGAGGGAGAGGGAGAGGGAGGGGTGGGTGGGAGGGAGAAAGTGAGAAATCATCTGTTGGAGGGGATGGCCACACCACAGTCCCTTCTCTCTTCCAGTCTCTTGGGACTTTGGGTATATACTTACACACAGAGTGTGATTTTCCTCCACTTGTTCGCCCCCATATTAGTTATTGTTTTTTAGGTTATTTTTTTTTTTTGCCATAGGGCTCATGTGTTCACTGGATGTTCACTGGAGAGAGAGACAGAAACAGAGAGGGAAAGTGAGAAATCACTCCTAGAGGTGATGGAAATGGTGCAGTCCCTTTTTCATTCTCCTCCTCTTGGGATTTTGGGCACACATGTCAGTGTGATTTTCAAGCCACTGGATTCAGGACTCAGACTTCGGTTGGCCATGTGGGAATCTAGTGCCATAACCACACCACCACCTGCTGCTCCTCACATCTTATTTTTAAGAGGAATTCTGTATCAGCCAATAGTAGTCCAAGTTAATTGAGTCATGCCCACTGTAGATCATCAAAAATATAAAAGGAGGGACCAGCAGTTAGCTGGTTAATAACGGCTATGTCGCTGGACACCCATGTGGTCGACTGCAGTTCGCGTCCCGGACCTGGTGGCTTGAAACTCACGCCGGGCGCGTATGCGTGCGTGCCCAAGATCCCGAGAGGAGAATGGAGGAGAAGGGATTGTGGCGTGGCCATCCCCCCCGGGGGGTGATTTCTCGCTTTCTGTCTCTGTCTCTGTCTGTCTGTCTGGCAAGCGCACGCACCCTATAGCAAAAACCTCCCCACCCCCCCAAAAAAAATATATATGGAGCACTCAGCTATTGATAGTTTTGTGATAAGAAAATTTCTTTAGAAAGGGAGTGAAGCAGGTTTAACCCAGTCAGAATGGGGAACTCCTTCTTGCCATCGCTATCATCAAAGTTCAGCTCCAATTCACTTGGCACTGAGCTCTACTAGGATTTGATGTTAGCATTTTCTTGTTGCCAGAAGGCCCTTGGCAGGGTTTCTTTCTTAGAGCCGACAACATCATAATATAAAAAACCAACCAAACAAAAAACATACTCACATTTTGAGAGGCCATTCTGGAGCTGTAAAGACTTGAGTTTAAATACCTGTTCTGCTACTTAAAAGATGGCGGACTTAATGCGTCTTAATGTTTCTATGTCTCAGATTTCCTCAGCTGTAAAATGTGTACAGTAATGCTTATTTTGCAGTGTGCTTTCGAAGATTAGATGAAATTTATAGTAGTTCTTATTTGTTGTTATTGCTTTTGTTGGCCTTTGGGGCTAATGAATATCTTTATAAGGCTTTTTTTTTTTTCATAACTGGATTAAATCTGCCTTTTCTTTAGTCATATTTTCAGTTTATTTAGTAGTTAATAGTTTATGTAGATCCTGACTCATAGTATTAGAAACTGTGACGTCTCATTCTTTTTTTTTTTTTTTCAACAAATACTGTAGTATTAAGACATAGGCTCCAAATCAGCATACTTGGATATTTTAAGAGATATAATGCTTCTTAATGAAAGAGAAATTAATCTATTTGTTTAAAGTGACAGTTTTTTAATACTCTTGTGATATTCAGTAAGAGGTTAAGTGAGCGAGTTTTAGATTCATACTGCTTTGATTCAAATTCTAGTTCCAGATTAGAAAGAACTGGACACCTCACTGTGAGCCCATTTTTTCCTTATATAAAATGGTAATAATGGGGACCAGCAGATGGCATGATGGTTAAGGTGCCGTACTCCCACATAGCTAACCACAGTTCAAGTTCTGAACTGGGGGACTTGCTTTCTTTTTGTTGTTGTTGTTTGTTTGTTTTTAGAGAGATTTTTGCTGTAGAGCGTGTATGCTCACCAGAGAGACAAAGTGAGAAATCACCCTGCAGGGGGGATGGTCACACCACGTTCCCTTCTCCTCCATTCTCCTTTAGGGATCTTGGGCATGCATGCACATGGACCTGGCGTGAGGTTTAAGCCACTGGGTCTGGGACTTGGACCATGGTTGACTATGTGGGAGTCCAGTGATGTAACCATTGCACCATCTGCTGGTCCCATGCATTCTTATTTTCTCTTGCTCTGTCTCTCTTTCTGGTGAGCACATGTGCCCTATAGCAAAGTTAAAAAATAAATAAAAAATGGTAATAATGATACATACTTTCTAGGCTAAGAAGTAGTAGATGAAGAGAAAAACCTAAACAACCTAGCAGACTTCTTCCTCTGGCTAAGATGGAATAACAGACCTGATTTGCCTTTCCACCTAAAATAATCAGCATTACCTTGATACTAAAACCAGACAAAGAAACCTACAGTACAGTGTCATTCATGAACATAGACATAAAAATGGTAAGCGAAATTTTAGCAAATAGAATTACCAATATGTAAAAAGAATAGCATATCAGGATTGAGTAGGGCTTATTGTAGGAGTACTGTTAAACATTCAACAGTATGTCATTATAATTCACCATTTTAACCAACTAAAAAGCAAAAGCTACTGTATAATCTCAGTTAATATAGAGAAGACATTTAACAGAATCTAATATTTCTGATTAGAAGGTTTCAGCAAACTAGTGATAGACATTAATGTTCTTAATCTGATAAAGGATTTCTAAGAAAAACGAACAGCTGATAACGTATTTAATGGTGAAAGACTGACTGCTGCTTTCCTTCTAAAGATCGGGAACAAGACAAGGATATTCACTCTCACTACTTCTGTTCACCATTTATCTAAAGACTAGGTAGTAAAGCCAAGCATGAAATAGAGATAAGAAAGCATCTAGATTAGAAAGGAAAAAGTGAAACTCATTGTTTGCAGAGTAAGTGATCTAACTAATAGAATAAAGATATAAGTGATGTTGAAAATGTAAGCTCAAATAGCAAAAATCAGTTGTATTTCTGTATAGCAGCAGAGGATAATTAGCAATTAGAATTAAAAAACAATGGACACCATTTATGATAATATCAAAAATGGGAATTATTTAGAAATAAATCTGATGGGCCAGCCCACAGTGTGGTGTCAACGTTTAATAAACTGCACACTTTAAGAATGGGTAGCATGTGGGCATGATGGTTAAGGTGACTGACCACAGCGCTTGAAACTCAATGCCTATCCCATGTGTGTGCATGCTCACAATTCCAGGAGGAGAATGGCGAAGAAGAGAATAGGCTTGGGCATCTTCCCTGGGGGGTGATTTATCCATCCGGTTCCCGTCTCTGTCTCTGGTGAGCGCACAAGCCCTGTGGCCGAAACCTTAAAACAAGGAAAAGGATGTGTGGCATATCCAGTGGATTACTAGTAGTCATAGACAACAAACTCTGGGTACATGCCGTGACGTGGATGAACCCCAGAAACGTGCTCAGGGATCGAAGCCAGATTCAGAAACCACGTACCG